ATTGTGTTGTAGTTACTGGCACATCTGGATTAAAGCTGGATTAAAGCTGGATGATGTGTCTGTTACTGGGATGAAACCAGTGTCTGCGGTCGGTTTAATACTGAGGCAGTTTATTAAGTGCAGTGTTGCAGATCTGTGATGTGTTTGTTGTGTTTTTAACACATTTTTACTTAGTTTAAGGATTTAGTCAGAGATTAATGCTGAAGTTATACTGGAAATACTGGAAATTGTGCTTGATGGGTCACTGGTTTCAAACTAGAATTTTCCAGTATTTCATGCTGGATTTAAAGTGGATTATTTGCAGGTGTCGACTGTTTAGTTCAGGATTAATACGATGAACCATCTGTGTGACTGGTTTAAAACTGGGTTTGTCTGTATCCTGTTCCAGTGCTGTTAGGTTTCTTTGTTCTGTGTTTTAGCTGAATTTAATCTGGAGTCAAACTGGTTTCGTCTTTACTGGTTTCATACGTTCAGACTGTCCGGAGCTTTTTTTCAATCAAACATTTCTGACCCTCTCTCTGAGGTCACTGGATGTTTGGAAACAGCTGACGCTCTCTGAGACTTAAAACCAGGGCGTAAATCAGGAAATGAAACCCTGTTTTATCCTCCTCCTCTTCCTCCTCCTCCTCCTCTTCCTCCTCCTCCTCCTCTGCTTCTTTTTGCTTGTTGTTTGCAAACTGAAGGCCGACAGCAGAGCTGAGATGTAATTGTAGTGCTCAGTCTGATTACAGTGTTGACTGCGTGCTCATTACGTGTCTCAGCTCTGCAGCCTCCTCCTCTTCCTCCTCTTCCTCGCTGTGACACAGGCGCGTCCAGCTGAGGTTCTTCCCGGCCGCGGCCTGATCGCAGCAGCTGATCTGTTTGTGAAAGTAGCCTCAGGTCACGCCTTCGCTCACCTGTGCAGGTGACTTCCTGTCAGGCTGCAGGTGGTCACAGCAGGAGCGTCTGTAGTTAAAGGAGCAGTCGGTCAGTTTTGAGGGTCGTGGGACTGGAATCCAGGCTGTCAAATAAAAGCAGCACTGGTTTAACTGGAGTAATACTGGGTTTAAGTAAGCTGGACTACTGTAATACAGATTTAACCGTCTGAGGCTTAATGGTGAGTTTCATACTGTGTGTGGCCGACTCACTAATCGAGTTCACGTTGGTGGGATCCATTCATTGCTCGACCAATCAGTGTTAGTAAAGACATGACTGCAGTATCGCTGCGTCCAGACCGGACACAGAAGGGTCGTCTCTGGTCACATGATCGCTGTTGGCTGCTTTTGAATCATCTCACAGCTCTGAGATCTTCACTTCTGTCAGCCGACCGGAGCACGAGCTGGAATTCACACAACGTATTTCAGAACTCCCAGGAAGTCCTGCGACACCTCCTCTGCTCCTCTGTCTCAGTACAGATGCACAGGAATTTTTTCACGCCGTACGGGAACCCTTACACTTCCTGTTCCCTGTGTACTTATATATTATAGATACATTATTACACGTTTTATTACACACGCACAGAAACGTGATTGTGAAACGTCTTCGTACTGAGTTAACGGCACGTTTCTCCTTCATGTGTTTGAAGCCGGACCTTTAACCTGAGCTCTGAGTGCTTTTCAGTGTGTCTCTCAGCGTGGCTCCCACACAGGCGCTTTGTTTGGGCCTGTTTTTAAAGCTTCCTCACTCGTTGCCGCGCTCTCTGTTCAGCTGCTGCAAAAGTCTCCAAAACTGGTTTTTGTCTTCGCTCCTCATTGTTGTTTCAGGCCGATCTCGCTTCACCTCTGGATCTGCTGCATTCCTGTCTGCTCTCCACCTGTCTGCTCCGCCACAATAAAACCACCACCTCCTGCTCCAAACTCGCCTTCAAAGTAAAAGTCTGTGACACGAGTCTGGATTCAGTCCATAA